AAATAAATAACACTGGAAACTTCCTTGAAAAGTTAATATAAAGGAAATGAGCAGTGGTACAAGACTTTTGCAAAGTATTTGAATCATATCACCTGCTAGTTTAATATCCCTAAAAAGTATTGTTGGATAGTTCATGCATGGAAATGTACCCTCTGGTTGCTTTATGTACAATTAGAGTATAGGGATTTTCATGTTATGTTTGTCCATTTGATAAACACAATTTATTCAAAGCATTATTTATAGCATTTATTATTTAAAGTATTTTGAATGAACCTAAACCAATTTAATGTAAATCACAGTTCTGGTAAATTTACTTTTCCTTTTATGCTTGGCGCCAAAATTGTGTTTGGCAGGTTTTTCCCTTCATATTAGAAACAAAAAACAACATTGAAAAAAAATCCATGTTCAATTGCTGATGAGTTAAATTTATTTGTGTTCTTGAAGCTTTTGTGTAGTTAGTCCTTTTGGTCATGAATGTAATCAGCCTTCTCAGCTGTCTGAACCTTCACTTCAGGACTATGCTAATCCTGTAACTACTCACTGGAATTTGTACAGCTTTTACCGGAGATCAGTAATCACACCTGTAACACAGTCATTAAACAGTAAGCGGCTCCATTACTGTTACTACAGGACTTGTTGTTTTATTTATATCCACACATCGTGTTGTTTTTGCATAAAGTGCAGAAGGTGTGAGAAAGAGCTGTCCATGCTTAATTGTCTTTGTCTTTTCTTATTCATTACATCATGTGCAGTTTATTTATATGGAGTCAAAACCTTACCAGATTAGTAAACCTCTTGCTGATCTGAGTGGAAGATTAGTGGAAGTGTTCTGGGAAACTGACTGTAAAAGTCAAATGATTATAATCTACATGTATTGACCCCTCTTAAGGAAAAGTTGCTTTTCTCTGTTAAAGGTTTAAGTGGCTAAACTGTTCTTCTGTTTTTCCTCTTTCAGAGCCACAATGGCCACCGCACCGTACAACTACTCCTACATTTTCAAATACATCATTATCGGTAAGTGATCAGTACCAATTGCCAGCAGTTTGGAGGCTCTCTAGTGACCAATATTGATGGCACTTAGAGCTGGG